CTATTAGGTTTCAAGATTGAAGTCAATATCTTTTTACCGAACAGTCACTAAATCAAAGTCGCTCAACTAAATTTTTGGACATTGCTACACAACATCCAACACATTTAATGATTACATGCAAATAATTTTAATAAAACTACGCATTCGATATAAGTTATTAAACAATTTAACTATATATACAATTTGATAGGTTTATATCTTTCATATTAACAAAAATTTACAAATGTTATTATTATATTTTGAAAAAAAATTTAGACTTTGGAGTTTTGTATAAGATTGATAAAGGATAAGTTAATTCCCGTCATATATGCATTGAGTTTTGCGTGTTCTATCCGGTTCACCCTTTGGGCTAATCCAGATTTGAGCTAGGTTATTAGGTTTCATTCCCCTTCCGATTGTTGTTGCAGGAGAGCGAACACAGGTCCTCGCTACCTGGTGTAGTCTCAATCACCACTACACCAACAACCAATTGGTGTAGTGATGATTGGGACTACACTTGGTATGGAGGACACGTGTTATAAAATATTATATACATATACTTTTTTATATTATAAAAAATATTATATTATATACACATACTATTATAGTTAAAAGTATTATTATGTATAAAACAACATAAATTATTGCACATGATTGTTGTATATCTAGTATAGTACATGAGCAATGCACGATTTTTAAATTCATAAGTAATAACATTGTTATTACGAATACTACAATTTAAAACACGAGTAATAGTTATAATACATTTTATATCTGTCCTTTTTCCGTCAAATGTCTAATTCAATTTAACTTTTATTCTTCTTGTTTAGATTGGTTATTGATTCAGTTTTTTTTTTTTTTTTTTTATGCAAGAAAAACAAAAGGTCATTGTAAAAGACGTTGTATAGAAAATGAAAGGCCGATTAAAATTAAATTTATGTTCAAGATTATGTATTTTTTTTCCAAGACAACATTTCGGCTCAGCATTCAATATTTGTCAAGGAGTACAACAAACGATAAAAGTAATTTTTACACTATTTTGTATCATTATCAAAAACTTTTGTATTCATCCGATTACTTGAATTGAATTGAATTTAGGGTTGTTCCGATTGACTGAACTCAGTTGAACTGAACTGAACTGAACTGAACTGAACTGAACTGAGCTGAACTGAACTAAACTGAACTGAACTGAACTGAACTTATTAATTAGTGATTTTTAACTACGGATTATTTATTTATTATTTATTACTATACATATGTGTATATACAAATGTACATATTATTATTATTTATTGATTATTGTTATTGATTATTGTTATTATTATTATTATTTATTGATGATTATTATTATTATTTATTGATTATTATTATTAGTATTATTATTTCAATTATTATTGTTATTATTATTTATTGATTATTATTATTATTATTATTATTATTATTATTTATTACTTATTGATTATTATTATTATTATTATTGTTGTTGTTGTTGTTGTTAATATTATTATTATTATTGTTAATATTATTATCATTATTATTGTTGTTTGTTGTTGTTGTTGTTGTTGTCGTTACTGTCGTTGTTGTCGTTGTTGTTGTTGTTATTGTTGTCGTTGTAATAAGAGGTTAAAAGAATGAAATTTGGCTTTATATCATTAGCAATATCATTAGACGTAAATTAAGAGCTGAACTGAACTGAACTGAGCTGAACTAAATTGAACAAAACTGAACTGAATTTCAACGGAAGAGAACAGACCCTTCAGATAACTTGTAGACTATTTTGGGTAACTTTTATCAATAAAGCATAAATAACTTTCATTCATTACAGGGTAGATTTTATAATAGGTGCACAATATTTTATTGTACATCTGATTTTTTTAAAAAATGTTTGTATTGATTTCATAATTGACGTCAAACTAAATTCTATCGATTTTATTTAATTTTCATAAAAAAATATTAGCCTTTCAAAATACGTAATATTTGTTCCTTAATTATGCCACTTTAATCATATTGCTTCAAATTAGTTATTATTCTTTAAATTGACTATAAATAAAGATTGGAAAGACTTTATGGATTATTTGTAGTATTGGAAAGTATATATTTATTATAAAAAAAATTAAATCAATATTTATGTTAGGAAATCATGAAAATCTTATGCATGTATAGAAACTTGCTTTTATTGTTTGAAGTTTAACAAAAATAACTATGGTTGAATATGTAAACAATAATTATATAGATATATTTTATACATAAGATAAGCCAATGAAAGAGTGACATTTGTCATCCTCACATTGAGGCGCTTGTCTTTTAGTATAATATATAGATAGATGCATTACTTTTGTAATTGCGGTCTCCTAAATAATTTTTACAGTATAGTGTGGTTGTGAAAAAAAATAACGAGAATCCATATAACAAGAGTACAAGAGATTAAGGTTATATTTACTTCACCTTATTTTTACCGAACTTGAATTATGGGTATGTTCTCATTGACTTAAATGAGCTGAACTGAACTGAACTGAACTTATTAGAGTTGAACTAAATTGAATTGAACTAAACTGAACTGAAATGAATATATTATAACTTTATAAGAGAAAGGAAATTAGGAGCTGAATTGAACTCATTAGAGGCTTAGAGCTGAACTGAAAATAATCGTATGAGAATAGATCCTATTTTTATTGAACTAAATAGTTATGATTGAACTAAATTTTTTTTTTTTTTATATATTTCTTCTTTAAATGTATTGATTTTTACTAAACTGAAATTGTTTTACTAAAATGAATCATTTTTACTAGATATTATTTTAATGCAAAAGCTAACGAACGCTCCGGAGGCGTAGGATAAGCTAGCTAAAAATAGAAAGATTAAATTAAAATAAACACCATAAAGTCTTATATATGGCTTGTCACACCGTGTGGCCAACCACTATAAGGGTTACTTCGCAAGTGTAATGGAGGTTACTTGGTCAGTGTTAAAATGGTTACTTCATCATTGTTATAAAGTTACCCAGTCGGTGGTACATGGGTTAACCCATCGGTATTAAAGGGATTACTCAATCAATGTTATAGGAATTACTTTAAGTGGCCACACGGTGTGGCCGGCTGCCCATGAGACGCCCTGAATGAACATTAATTACGTCGATCGACGCGTGATTTTGCCATGTTTTTTCCAAATTAATATCATTTTAAGTAATGTTTTAAATGCTTATCCAATGCTTTGAGGCGTATGTTAGCAAGATCTATATTTTATTAAGGTAAAGTGAATGAGGTATAGTAAAAGAGAATTTAATAATTTAGAAATAAAATGATAGTACTTAGTATATCTTGAAGCTTTCAGTGAAGCATTTAAAAAACTGTGAAAATATTTGGAAGTTTTGATATTGAAGGATTAGATTTAGCCGTAGGAAAGACAAGTAGGAAAGTGATGTACTATTATGAGCACAATTTACAATGACAATTGAAGATAAGAGAGAAAGAGAAAAGGAAATTGGGAGATTCTTTTTTTCTTTGAGAGGAAAAAGGAAGTTTGCTTCTTTTGGGCCCTTGTTCTCGCTAAAATACAAAGGTAGCCCAACACGTTTTCCCCTTGCTTTCTATTTTTTGGTTTAGGGGAGGAGGATGATGATGTGATCAATGTCTTCATGGACAATGATTTAGGTATACTATGATTTTCTACGAGGGTTTTTGATTTTTGAGCATATGGGGTCGTTTGAAATCTTTGAATGCTAACCGATTGGTGCGTATGGACGGTGTGAGTTCATATTATATGATCATTTATTTAAAAGGGATGACGTTTATTCTTTATATCATATAAGGTGTTCATATCTGGTTTGATTGTTTTAAGGTTTGATCCTATATTTCAATTTGATTTAACTTTATTCATATATTTCACAGTCTTATGTTAGGGAAAAAACTCTATCAAAAATATAGTTTTAGGGTATGTTCTATTTACTTGATTTTCACTTAACTTACATGAACTTATTTATTTTGATTTATATGAACTTATTTTAATTGTAATTTAAAATTCGGTAACCCTTATCAGAACTTATTTTTCCATATTATCAAAAATAAATTTACCACCTATGTTACATATTAGTTGCAACTTTGGAATTTTTTATGTCTCACGAATAATACCCCAAAGTTGCAACTAATATGTAATGGAGGTAGTATGATCTTATGAGACCTGAAATGAATGAAAATTAGGTGACAACCCATGACCTTAGGTTAGGGTTGTATTTTTTTCAAATATCTTATCTATAAAACTTTTATTACATAATTGGCCATAAAATATGAATATATGAAGATTTTATATGCTCTAGTTTGATTTCTTTAATTTTTTTTAATTTTATTTGTCTAAGAATTTGAAACAGATGAATAGAACATAGCCTAAAGTGACTTTCCTCATCCAAGTTTTTTTTTTTTTTTTGGTGCATAGAGAGCCAAAAAGGCAGTGGTGAGAATCGATCACACGATCTCCTAAAACCGAGAGGGAAGCTCTAACCACTTGAGCTATCCTTCACTCTGTCCTCATTCAAGTTCATAACCCTCAATTTTACAACACACAATTACACACACTAGTCTAGTACTCTCTAAATAATAAACCCAGTTTGTCATGCAGCACAATGATGGTAGCTACAACAACCTACTAATTCATTCTATCTACCATATTTAACAAACCACCTTGGTCCAAACCACAAAAAACACAACCTAAAAACAAGCCCAGCCCACTTTACACCAACTTTCTAAACCTCATTATCATGGACCACCACACATCTAAGTTCCCACAGCCCAAACATTCAAAGTCAAAAAACATGATCGCCGTACACCACGCTGTCAATCAAATCCAAAAAAAAAAACATTAAATTTAATTACACATCACTAATTCACTCTTCAACAACTGACACCCCTCTTCCCACCGTCCGATCATAATCCAACGGCCCTCATTCACCCCCCAAAAAAGTTGCTCCCCCCCCCCACACAATCATTACCAATTTACAGCTTGGCACCAATCAAATACACCCCCCTTCTCTCTCTTCCCCTTTCAATTCAAAACACAAACCTAAAAACAAAACTCAAGGATCCCCAAATTCAACCTTCTCTTTCTCTCTCTAAAATTCCCCAAGCTTTCTCTCTCTAACCAACAATGGCGGTCTCAGCAAGGGAAGAGAACGTTTACATGGCGAAACTCGCGGAGCAAGCCGAGCGTTACGAGGAGATGGTGGAGTTCATGGAGAAGGTTGTTTCAGCGGCGTCGGAAGGCGAGGAACTCACCGTTGAGGAGCGAAACCTTCTCTCTGTTGCTTACAAAAATGTCATCGGAGCTCGACGTGCTTCATGGCGGATCATCTCTTCGATTGAGCAGAAGGAGGAGAGTCGTGGCAATGAAGACCATGTCTCTGTTATTCGCGATTACAGATCTCGCATTGAAAAGGAGTTGTCTGATATTTGTGACGGTATTTTGAAACTTCTGGATACTAAGCTTGTTCCTGCTGCTAGTAATGGTGATTCTAAGGTGTTTTATTTGAAGATGAAGGGAGATTATCATAGGTATTTGGCTGAGTTTAAGACTGGTGCTGAGAGGAAAGAAGCCGCTGAGAGTACTCTCACCGCCTACAAGGCTGCTCAGGTATAATTAATTTTTCAAATGATTCTTTTCGATTTATTTGGTAGATCTGTTAATTAGGGTTTGGATTTGGTTTTTGTTTGTGTTTTTTGCGTTGATTTGCTATAATTTTGTGCATTTTGCTGGAATTAGGTTTTTGAGAAATTATTTTGAGGATTTGATCTGTTTTTAAGCCACTTGTCCAATATTGCGGATTGAAATTTGATTGTTATGTTACAAGTTTGGTAGATTTCAAAAATTGAGATATGGAGGTTGAAGTTTTCATTTTCTGTAATTTTCTCATTTAATTTTAGAAGATAATTGGAATTTGGACTTTGAATTAGGATATTCCGTAATAAACTTTGAATTTCAGTTGGTGTCAAAATATTGAGGCTATGAATGAAGCTTTCATTTGCTACAATTATTTACTTTGGTATGAATTTGACTAGAGCAGGATCAAATTTTTGTTGTGGGATGATACATGTTATTTCTGAACAAATTATATCTTTTAGTAGAGTGTAATTCTCATGGCATTTGTGTTTGTGAATTTTATTTCAGGATATTGCAAATGCCGAGCTTGCTCCTACTCATCCTATTAGACTTGGATTGGCTCTTAACTTCTCTGTGTTTTACTATGAGATTTTGAACTCTCCTGACAGAGCTTGCAATCTTGCAAAGCAGGTATTTGCTCTTCAAATTAGAAGATACGCAAATTTTTGTGATAAATTATAATATATCGAGGTGTGTATGCCATCTAATGTATCTGATAAAAGTTACATAAGAACATCTCATTGATTATTCAAAAAGGTGTATGCCTTATACTTTTGCTCTGTTCTTTTTTGTTCAGGCTTTTGATGAAGCCATAGCTGAGCTAGACACCCTAGGAGAAGATTCGTACAAAGATAGCACTTTGATTATGCAACTTCTTCGTGACAACCTTACTTTGTGGACATCGGATATGCAGGTAAAGCTTCTTTACCCTAATAATTAGCTGCTTTTTTTTTTGGCTTGCTGTGCTAAGAACAATTTATGTTTGGTATCTCATGGAAATTACTTGTGTGGAGGATCTATTGTTTCTTATATGGATTTGCTTAATGTTGTTACAGGATGATGGCGCTGATGAGATCAAGGAGGCTCCCAAGCAGCCAGAAGGCGGTGAACAACAGTAAGAGTGTCTTAACGTTGGAATTAGGGTTTAAACCTTCTCCATAGTGGTTTTTAAAAGGAGAAGGGTGCTTGTTTATGATTTTAGGGGTTTTTCTCATTCTGAACAAGTATTGCTTTGATTCAACATTGTCAACTTGGGTGATGTCTATGATTGCCATTCTTATATATTAATATGGCAAATCTGTCTGCCTCTATTTTCTTGTGTAGTTTGATTTGAAGTGGCTTCAATCTCCTCTGGTACCTACTAATGTTTACTTTATTTTTGAGGTTTGTGGTCCAAGTGCAATTAATGCGATTCCTTATAGCAATGTAGCTGTGGATTCCTATCTAATGTTTACTTTAATTTTGAGGTTTGTGGTCCATTAATCTAGCAATACCTTAGGCCATTGCCTTAATAGTTACAACTGCAACTTGTGTTACTTTTACTGGTCACTGAGGAAACTTGTGATTAGGTTGTTGGACCTTATGCAGTTACGCAACTTGATTGATTTTAAATAGTTAACAGGTTCATATTTCTGTTTAATGGTTTGGCTCTTCAGTGAGTGATGATTTACATCTGAATTATGGAAAACTTGATGTTTTATTGCTCGAGGGTGTTGTTTGTTAGTGACATTAAGGTTTTATGTGGTTTATGGGGTGTAAACTAGGATTTCACCTAGATAGGGAATTTTTGTTATGACACAACAATTCAGGCACTTTTGTAGAAAAACTTGAACTCCTTTGCACTGTAGTTTCTGGAAAAGCTTAATCTCTTCGGTGCATTATTCAATTTATTGGCCACTTAAACCTTTCTAATGAAGTTTGGTTTCAAAATACTGCTACTTGTGTGAAGGAATTGGTGTATTAGTTATAATACATAATTGGAGAATAGTAATAGCGTTGTCATATCATAGATTCATAGTACATAATGGAGCATGGTCTATTAAGCAATCAGTGTAATAGTGTATGGAAGTTTGTTCATTAGTACAAATGTTCGGTATCAATATCTTTCAGTTTATTGATGATGGCTTTTAGCCCTTTTGATTAGATGGTTTTATTTAAATACTTTGAATCTAATAACCAATTGCAAAATTAAGAGGTATTAACACCAATTTTGTTTGTTTGTTATATTTAGCTGAATTTCAATTAATCACAGAAAAACTTTGCCTTTTGTTTTCAACAATAGGTAATGTGAACACTTTACAGTTTTCGGCGGCTTTGAAAAACAAGGGATTATGTTGTTTATTGAATAGCTTTAATCTATCTATAATTGGCAACACAGCAAGAATGGGATATAATTTAATCGTCCAGTTGTCTTTAAATTCTTATCATATGATTCATATTATTAAATCGAATTGTATTGCTCGACAATAATGGATGAGGATTGAGAAAGGTGGGATTGCCAGCGTCCTTGCTGATGGACTGATGGTAGTGATGTCTATTCCATAAAGTTATTGACTAAAATCGGTAGACAGTATTACATACTACAATATGAGATTCTTATGTCCAGCTCAAGTTTGTGTAAGATAATCCTTTTTTTTTTGTTTACTTTTCGATTTAATGAAAATGACTTGTGATGGTATGGAAGAATACGGTGCGGCTCCATGGGTCACGCTACTCGGATAACGATTGTTATCTCTTTCAAGTGGGCAGTCTTAAGTCTACCCTGTGAAGGTACAAAGTAGTATGACCGGGTCTTTTATGTCTTAACAATGTGGTGTTGATTGAAATTATAGGAAGCCTACTTTACATTCGGGAGAGCTGATACACATACAATCATTGTATGTTGTCCCTACATACAACACCATTAGAAATTTGACACGGAAATGGGAGAAAATTTCGTGTGTATTGTGTTCTCGTTACATTCTGACTTAAAATCTTGGAAAGGACACTGGGCGGGTACATGATTGCATGATGAGAATGGCCTATGAATTATCATAATGAATCATTATAATGATTAATGCTTGATGCACATTGGTTATCAATCCTCTTTGGCCTTTTGGGGTTTTCTCAAAGAAAGAAGAATGTGACGAGATGGATAGAGGGGAATAGGGGATGGAAAGAGATTGTCTTAATGCTATAGAGTTGAGTTAGGTGACAAGTGACGGTTGTGCTATTTGAATTTATTTCAAGTAATTTAGGGTAAGTTTATTGCAAGTCTTGAGCAAAGTCTCAACATGAGTCTTATAGTTGTCCAAAGTTGACCCAACTCAAACCCGATTATTAACCCTCATCTAAACCTGAAAAAATAGTGACCCAAACCCGACTTGAAACCAACCCTAGACTCGAGTTGACCCGATATGTGAGACCTGAACCCAAACATGAACTGATCTGGAGATGACCCGACCCGAATGTAACTCATAAATAATTGACTTGAAGCGAACTCGCCTTGAACCGAAATTGACCCAAATCCGTTTTAACCCGTCAAAACCCGAATTTAACCTGACTTGTTACTAACCTTACCTGAATTCAACCTGACCCGTTCCTAACCCGACCGGAATTTAATCCAACCTGTTCCAAACCCGACCCGAAATCAACCCGACTTGTTATTGACCTGACCCAAATTCAACCCGACTTGTTATTGACCCGACTCGAATTTTACCAAATCTATTACTAACTCGATCCAATAATTCAACCTGATCTATTACTAACCTGACTCAAAATCAACACGACTTGTTATTGACCCGTCCTATATTCAACCCAAATTGTTCGTGACCCGATTTCAAATCACCTTAAATGCAATTTAGACCACCTTATTATTGTTAATCAAAGCATTATGTCTAGGGAGACCAAGTCGATCTAGGCCAACAAAAGAAAGAAGCATCATCCTCAAATTTAAGAGTTAAATATAAAATATATTTGTTGTATAGTAAAAGGAGATACTCCGTAATTGTCTTCCTAACTTATAAACTACAATTCCCTAGTATATTTCATAACTATATTTCATAGGTATAATTTCCTCAAAAAAAATATTTCATAGGTATAAATTAAATTATAATTTTATTCAAAAAAATATTAGATTATAACTCTAAAAAAAAAACAACATTATTATTAGTCATTTACATGCCCACTACATAGTTTAAATCGTCATAATAGTACATCAATTCCTAACTAATTTTGTATTAGATTGTAATAGTACATAGTTTAATTCGTCAATTCGTGTAAGCAGGTTGGGTTTGGGTCGGGTCAACTTGGGTCGGGTCAATTTAGATTAATTCCATAACATATATGGGTAGGGTTTGGGTTAGGTAATGCTTGAGTCGGGTCACGTCGGGTCATACTTCTTAATTGGTTTCGATCGGGTTAATAACATGTCGGGTATATTCGGGTGGGGTGAACAATAATTTATTGGTTATAATCAGGTCGGGTCATTCTCGGGTTTAAGTCAGGTTCGGTTCAAGTCAATAATTTGTGGATTATAATCAGGTCGGGTCATTCTCGGGTTCAAGTCAGGTTCGGTTCAAGTCGCTAATTTGGGGGTTATAATCAGGTTGGGTCATTTTCAATTCGGGTTATCCTCGGGTTCAAGTCGGGCTATGTTCAAGTCAATAATTTACAGGTTACAATCAGGTCGAGTCATTTCCAAGTCAGGTCATATTCTGGTTCAACTAACTATAAGTATATAATTATCATTTTTATCATACTAATTATTTCTTTTGATTATAATATATAGGGTTGTTCATCGGTCCAAGACCGGACCGGACCGACCCTGATTGGACCGAAGACCGGAAATTAGAATTTTAAGAACCGAAGACCGGACCGATTAAGTTAGGACCAAACCCGGACCGGACCGAAAGAATCGGTCCAAAACCCAGGCCGGACCGCTTTGGACCGATTTACGAATTGTTTTTAAAAGAATACTAAATTTTTTACAAAGTTTAGGAAAACACAAAAAAAATATTGGAAAAACTATGTTATAACGTCATTTTTACGTCTTTTTTTGTATGTTTAGTGCGAAAAAACTTATAAATTTAAAGTTTTCTAAGCTTATTAAGGATAATTTTAACCATTATTTAAGGTTTCACACATATTTTTAATAAAAAAAACCGGTCCGGTCCAAAACCGGTTTTTATAGGGATTTAGACCGGACCGGACCGAAGACCCGAAAAATGAATTTCAAGACCCGAAGACCGGACCGATTAATTCAGTCCGGTTCGGTCCGGGTTCGGTCCTGGGTGGTCCGGTCCAGTTATTTGGTCCGGACCGATTTATGAACACCCCTAATAATATATATGACAATATACTAGGGAATTATAGTCTATAATTTAGGAAGATAATTATCTCCTTTGACCATACAACAAATATATACTATATTTAACTCTTAAATTTGAGGATGATGGTGCTCCTTTCTTTTACTGGCCTGGACCGACTTGATCTCCCAAGACAAAATGCTTTGATCAATAATAATAAGGTGGTCTAAATTGCATTTAAGCTGATTAGAAATCGGGTTAGGAACAATTTGGGTTGAATTTAGGTCGGGTCAATAACAAGTCGTGTTAATTTCGAGTCGGGTTAGTAACAGATTGGGTTGAATTTTTAGGTTGGGTAAGTAATAGGTACGGTAAAATTCGGGTCAGGTCAATAACAAGTCGGTTGAAATTGGGTCTGGTCAATAACAAGTCAAAATGATTGAAGGCTAATATCCACGGTTTTTGAGTAATTTTGTAGGTATCGGGACCTGGTGTCGAAAAGCCTAAAGAATTAGGATATACATCTCTTGATTATATAATGCCGTTTGGAACCGTATATGATCATTATATGTTGTCATAAATATTCATGGTATGCTAGAGTTAATGAAATCAGTGCAAGTTGTAAATTGGTAAATTGGTCGTTTAAAGGTAAATTGGATGGTTCCACCCATCCAATTGGCCTCCCAAACGGTATTAGGGATCATGGTAAACATTTCGCCAATTTTTATTTCCGAGGGAAAAAAAAGTCAAAAATATCCAAAAGTAAAGTCTAAGATCCATGCTTGTTGAGAAATTTTGGAGATTTTGAGGCCCGATGTCTAAAAGTCTCGAAATTCTAGGGAATACATCTCGGGGTCATATAATGTCGTCTATGGGGAATAAATTTCAAACGTTAACCCCTAGCTTGAACCCCACTGTGATCATACACTAAAGTACAGTGGCGTCCAAAAGGGAAGAAGATAGAGCAAAAGAGTCGCCAACAAGTTTTAGGAACTTGTAAACCATTCACAGGGTGAAGATTACACCCCTTAACGATCAAAGAGATCGTCAACTCCATAAGGTCTTGAACCAAATAAGGGTTCGGGGATGAAGGTACAAATCCAACCTAAAAGAGATTGAACCTGCCCTAATAATAGGCCTCTACTTTATTTTGATCG